GAGTACTACTCAGTGCAAAAACAATGAAATCTTGAAATTTGCAGGCAAATGGATGGAACTAGAAGAAACCATCCTGAGTGATATAACCTAGTTACAGAAATACAAGCATGGTATGTACTCACTCATATATGGATATTAGACATAGGGCAAAGGATTCCAAGCCTACAATCCGCACCTCCAAAGAAGCTATGAAGTAAGCAGGATACTAAGAGAGACATACATGGTCCCCAGGAGAATGGAAATGGAACAGGATCTCCTGAGCAAACTGGAAGAATGGGAGGAGGGAGGAGGAAAGTAGGAGGGAAGGGAGAAGAGGAGTGGGGAGGAGATCATAAGGGATCAGGAAAACTGACTCGGAAGATGAATAGAGGAGAGCAAGAAAAGAGATATCTTAATAGATGGAGCCATTATAGGTTTAAAGAGAAATATGGCACTAGGGAATTATCCAGAGATCCATAAGGATGACCCTAACTAAGAGTCTAAGCAATAGTAGAGATGCTATATTAAATGTCATTCCCTATAATGACATTGATGACTTATATGCCATCGTAGAGCCTTTATCCAGTAGCTGAGGGAAGCAGTAGCAGAGATCCAAAGCTAAGAACTTAACTGAACTCCTGGAACCCAGTAGTAGAGAGGGAGGAGTGATGAGCAAAGCCGTCAAGACCATGCGGGGAAACCCACAGAAACAGCTGACCTGAGAAAGTGGGAGCTCACAGACCCCAGTCTGACAGCTGGGGAACCAGGCCCATTGAACATGGGTGTCAGTTAGGAGGCCTGGGCAGTCTATGGGGCCCCTGCCAGTGGAACCAGTATTTTTCCCTAGTGGACTTTGGGAGCCCATTCCCTAAAGAGAGATACTCTCTGAGTCTAGATACATGGGGGAGGGCCTAGGCTCTACTCCAAATGATGTGACAGACTTTGATGATCCCCCATGAAAGGCCTCACCCTCCCTGAGGAGCAGAAAGGGGATGGGATGAGAGGTCAGTAGGGGGCATGGGAGGATGTGAGGGAGAGGGAACTGGGATTGATATGTAAATAAGATTGTTTCTAATTTAAATAAAAATATTGTTCCTAATTTAGATAAAATCTATATATAAAAAAGGAATTCTGGGATGAAACATAATCATGTAGAGAGAGGAGACATGATGTGAAGACACTCCTGAGTCAGATATCTTAGCAGGGACTATTTGTATCATCTAAGAATTCAGTCAGGGTTTACATACCTTACTGGTGATTTTTTATATGTTAGATGAGTTGAATACAGTGTTCTGAGGTAAGAGTTGTGAGACACAGATCATGAAACTGGTACCTTCCACCTAGATTTCTGTGATCCTCAGCATGAGTGGCCATACTTTCTTACAACCTCATTGAGGAATTCAGGGATGGGAAGACTGACTTTCCTGGGAACACCTGGCACTGACATGGTTAGCTTATGCTAAATGTAGTTCAAGAGATCCCTCTTCCCTTTCTGACCAAACTCTCCTACTCCTGTCCGAATCCCAGTCCCGCTTCATCCCTGCACAGACATCCCTATGATGCACGGCCAGGTTCTCCTTTCTTCCCTTGGAAGATCTTGTTGTTATTATTGTGTCTTCTCTGATACTCCAAGGCAATCCACGAGTGAGGCTATATACAACACAGGCCATCCCATTATTAGATTCAGCTTTGACTGACTGCTCTTGTAATACTGGTGTTTAAATCTTTATGGGAATTGTTAAACAAAAAGGTTTGGAGCCCTGAACAACACTTCTACATTTGTATCATGTTCATCATATTCTGAGAAAATGGGGAGGGGGGAGGTGCTTCAAGGCATATTGATATATGATGGACAGATGAGCAAATAGGAAGATGTTGATACAAAATGCGTAGGTGGACTAAATACACGATGAAGAAAAACAGTTCATCCATCCAAAGAAGCTGAAAGCTTTGGTTTTAAGCTTTCCAGTCACTGGGATTTATAAATTGAGGATAATCCAAGATTTTAAGTTCATATCATTTTCTTTTTTGGATATTTCTGTGGATTCTCATTTGGAACACAGAATCACTATAAGGGATGTGGGTATAGAACAGGAGATTTAAGTACCCAAATTTGCAGACTGCTTTTGTAAAACAGACATCTGATGGAAAGAAATGGGGGTTGAATCTGGAAAGATGACTCAGCATCTGTTAAGAATGTTTGCTGATTCACAGGCCAGAGAAACTAGGAAACAAGGGGGACCCAAACAGAGACATACATGGTCCCCCGGAGAAGGGGAAGGCACAAAATCTCCTGAACTAATTTGGAGCATGGGGGAAGGGAGGGAGTTAGGCAAAAGAGAAGGGGAGAAGAGGTGGGGTGAGGAGGACATGAGGGAGCAGGAAGAATAGAGGAGAGCAAGAAAAGAGATTCCATAATAGAGGGAGTCATTATAGGTTTAAGGAGAAGTCTGGCACTAGGGAAATGTCCAGAAATTTACCAGGATGACCCCAACTAGCAATGTAAGCAATAGTGGAGAGGCTACCTTAAATGCCCTTCCCTGATAATGAGATTGATAACTACCTTAAATGCCATCCTAGAGCCTTTATCCAGTAGCTGATGGAAACAGATGCAGACACCCACAGCTAAACACTGAGCCAAACTCCGGGAATCCGGTAGTAGAGAGGGAGGAGTGATGAGCAAAGGGGTCAAGACCAAGCTGGAGAAACCCACAGAAACAGCTGACCTGAACAAGGGGGGAGCTCATGGACCCCAGTCTGACAGCTGCGAAACCGATAGGACTGATCCAGACCCCCTGAATATGGGTGTCAATTAGGAGGTCTAGGCAATCTATGGGGCTCCCATAGTGAATCAGTATGTATCCCTGGTATACAAATGGACTTTGGGAGCCCATTCCACATAGAGGGATACTCTCTCAGCCTAGACACATGGGAGAGGGCCTAGGGCCTGCTCCAAATGATTTGGCAGACTTTGAAGACCCCCCCATGGAAGGCCTCACCCTCCCTGGGGAGCAGAAAGGGGATGGGATAGGTGACTGGTGGGGGCAGGGGAGGAGGGGGAGAGAGGGGGAACTAGGATTGACATGTAAAATAAGCTTGTTTCTAATTTAAAAAGTAAATAAATACATGAATAAAAGTTTGCTGGTCTTCCCGAAGCCCCAACCTCAATTCCCAGCACCCAAACAGATTTGGTGGCTTTACACTTCCCTATAACTCTGGGTCCAGAAACTTGCACTCTCATATACATTTCCCCCATATAGAAAATGTAAATTTTTCCGAAGTTTTACTTTTCTTAACTTTATGTGTATGAATACTTTTCCTGCATGTGTGTCAGTGTATCAAATGGGTGCAATGCCAACAAAAGGCAGAAGAGTGTGTCTGACACCATGGAACTGGAGATACAGACAGTGGTGAGAGCCACATTGGTGCTGGCAACTGCACCCAGGTGTTCTGCAAGGGCATCCAGTGTTCTTACCTGCTGATCCATCTCTCCTTCACATACATCTTTTTTTAAAAAGAACTAAATGGAGGCAGATGATTAAAACAGTAGAGATAAGAAGTTCACATTAGGTATGGGCCTGCATTATTTACCAACCAAAGAAATAGAAATTTCCAACCTGGAAAATAGACAGGAGCTGGTATTCTGATATAAATCTTATCGTGACAGCTGGGTACGTGTGTGGTTGGCACACACTATTTGCTTAGACCACCTCTTTTTCAAATAATTTTTTCTTTTAAATTTTATTTTACATTCCAACCACAGTTTTCCCTCCCACCCTCCGCCTGCCCCCCCCCACTTCCCCTCAGCCCATGCCCCAGTTCACTCCTCCTCATGGGTAAGGGCTCTCGGGCTTTCATGCGGAGTCAACAAAGTCTGGTACAATAGGTTGGGGCAAGGCCAAGCCCCTCCCCCATGCATTAAGGCTGAGCACAGTCAGTCATCCCACTGTAGGGAATGAACTCTCCCACATATGGAGGACCAATTCAGTTCCCTCGAGTCTCTACCACTGTTGGTCTAGAGTCCATGAATTTCCATGAGCTTGGTTCAGCCATATCTGTAGATTTTTCTTTTCTGATCTTGACCTCCCTTGCTCATGTATTCCCTCCTCCCTCTCTTCTACTGGATTCCTGGAGCTAGGCCTGTTTCTTGGTTATGGATCTCTGTGTTTGGGAAATTAGATGAGATTTACTGTGTAAACTGAGGATGGGGTTGGAGGTGGTAAGGGAGAAGGGATGGGGATGAGGACATGAGGGAAGAGGATGGTTGAGGAGGTTGGGGTGCAGTGGAAGAGCAATGAAAGAGATATCTTAATAGAGAGAGTCACTTGGGGTTAGGGAGAAACCTACTGATAGAATAACTCCCATGAATCCACAAGGATGACCCCAGCTAAGACTTCTAGCAATAGAGGAGAGGATGCCTGAACTGGCCTTCCCCTGTAATCAAATTGGTGAATACCCCAACTATCGTCATAAAGCCTTGATCCAGTAATTGATGGAACCAAATACTTAAGAATACCTCTTAACTACACACTTGGTTAGCTTGAAGAAACTGGACTCTTGAACTTATGGGGGAAATTTTGAGACTCCGTTTTCAATTCCCTTAGACCCCTCCGGTCCTGGAGTGTGCTATAATTTAGAATCTATTTATTTCCACACTTGTACTGTGTAGTTTTTGTTGAGTCATCTTACCAAGGATGGTACATTTACCTCATACACATTCTCTGTTGTTAACTATGCTCTCTAGTTTCTGTATGGTGTTTCTGTCTTCTACAGATGTGTGTGTGTGTGTGTGTGTGTGCATGTGAGCGCATGAGTGTGCATACATGCACATGTGCTTTCAATGGAGAAGCCCCTACCTCTCACAGGTTACCCCCACAGGACCTTTGAAAATGTCCTGGTATTTCAGTAGTGCACACGCCCAGGCCGTCTCCCCTCAATACACAAGGGAGTCTGGGGCGGGAGATGGACACAAATCCTCAGGAACACAACGTTTACAAAACAGAACCATTAGAGACATTTGGTGCCAGGGGAATTCTTTTTTAATTGCTTGGGAAGGGTGATGGGAAAGGGCGTCTGGGCGTGCCGCCAGGGTTTCCAGCAGGGTGATGTAGGCACATGTCAGCAAAGATGATTAGACAGTTTAGAAGCAGATCTTTGTCAGAGATGCAAACTGAAACTGCTAATTAAGAAGGGATTGAGATCGAGGAAGCTGCAGCCTAGAAGCTTCTTTTTCAAGTGTGAAATGCAACTGCATCCAGGAGCAGGGTGAGCCCATACATGGCTGATGCGGGAAGGAATACCAGATGGCTGACAAAGAAGGACAGATGTCATGCTCTGTCCTCCTGGGAATTCTCTGGCCACAAGCTGAGAGCTTACTTCTGCTTGGACTTCTGGCATTGCTGGGGTGGTGGACACTTCTGTTGGCACTTTGGAGGAGGCTGGCAAGGCTGCTTGGTCTGCTGGGATTGGGGGCAGCACTGCTGTGGGGGGGCGCACTGCTGGGGCGGGGGGCAGCACTGCTGTGGGGGGGCGCACTGCTGGGGTGGGGGGCAGCACTGCTTCTGCTTCTGCTGAGACATTCTGGATTTCCAACTAGAAACAAACACAAAGAATGAGACAGAATCAGCCATAGATCCTGGGATCAAATGACTCCCTGCCATTTACATGCTACTGTTTTGACCCTGACCTGATTGCTTCATGTATTTAAGGGGTGTGTGTTCGTGTGCATGTGTGTGTGTGTGTGTGTGTGTGTGTGTGTGTGTGTGTGTGTGGTGTGTGTGTGTATACATCTATACTTGCTTACATGTTAAGTTAAACTAAATGTAAGCTATTTCAACTCTTTCTGAAAAAATTAAATAAGGAATGGATGAAGGAAGGAAGAAGGGATGGGGTAAGGAAAGAGAAAAAGAGGATGGAAGAAGAAAAATGTAAAAAAATTATAAAGAGGGAAGAAGGAGAAGACATCAAGAAAGAGAAAGGAAGAGATAAACAGCGATGTATGTTATAATGGAAACTGTGGATCCAATGACGGGATTTTCTATTATCTGAATCCTGTGTAAACTATTACACCTTTTTGGTTTTCATGGATTTGCTTTTCTCTACCCAGCCTTTCTGAGGTTGCCATCTAAATCAGCATGCAAAAGGCATCCAAGCTTGCTAAAACGGGTGGATGTGTGTGCTAGAATCCGTCCATCCACAGAGGCTCTAGCACTTACCATAGTGCCAACTTAGCCAAGAAATGTGTAAAACATTAAAAGAAACAGCTTAACCATTTTCTAAGGTAACTTTCAGAACTGAGAGTTCCAGAAGTTAATACAGGGAACTGTCTAACTTCAGTCTCTTGACTTCTTTTGAAGAAATCAAGGAGGCATTGTGGCTTAGTCATTCAGCACAGATGAGGGAAACATGGGTCTCTTGGGTCCCAGAGCAGGCACCTTCTTTAGGCTTCATTGTCTTATCCCTGCTGTTCTGTAATTCCGGGATCTCCCTCCTCTGTCCTAAGACAGCCTGCTTCACTTCTTCCCTGGACCCCAATTTTCTCCCAGAAGGGCAACCTTGCCAGTGAGTCCAGAGCTGGTCCTGCTCTCCTTTGGGTTTCTCTCAACACCTGGAGGAGTGCAATGCCGGCATCATGCCAGCAGTCTTTGGGACACTGTTTGTCTTGTAGAGCCCTCTTCTGTTTTTAGCTCAGGCTCCCCAGATCTTCAGCCAGATGACTCGCAGGCCCAAGGCAGACTGCTTTAAAACGTTAGGGAAGAGGCAGGTGCCCAGAGAAAGCCTCCCTTTCTGATTATCCAGAGCCCCCACCTCTACTCCCAGAAGTCAGAGTATACACGGAGCCAGACAGCTGAGAGGGTTCTACCTCAATGGACTTACCAGAGTTCACCAGAGACTGGAGTGTGGAGACGCTGAGCTGTGTGGGACACTCTCAGATGGCCCACCTTTTATATATGTCACATCTCCGCCTGGGGCCATGAGGTGGCCTAGGATTGGGGTGTACTAATTAGTCTCTAGTCACAATAGGACCCATCTGCCCTTCCTCAAATTTCAGGTTTTACTCACCCCCTAAGGCTGGCAGCCTCCGTGTTGGCATGGCGGGACTTGGGGATGACAATGACTTCACCGTCGCCCTTGCCCCACCTCCCCAATGCTTTACGAGGGTTGGCCTTGGATTTCCAAATCCACTCGTGACTTTTGACTTAGAACCTTGGCATCTGGGATAGTCCCAAGCAGGCATTCAGTACAGTGCTGGGTGTGGGGGCTGTGAAGGTTGTGAGGGGAATGTTCTGGGAAGTTCTGGTTGGCAGAGGGGTTGGAGTATCTCTAGGGAGTCTATACAAATAGCTTTGTTGTCAGAGAAATGGCAAAGGAGGTGACTGGTTCTCTTAGGGTCTTATTAAATTCAGAAAAATTGAGTGTTTGCTCTGTACTCAAAGTATCATTCAGATTGAACTGGTGGGAAGACAACATGATTTTCTTCTTCTTCTTGTCATCTAAGCAATAAATTAAGGGCTGCAGCCCTTTGTCTTGCCTGCTATTGGGAAAACCATTAGGTCCCATTAAGATAAACTGGGTGGTTACAGTAGACGATGCTTATCTCTCTGCTTCTCTGCATATGTATAAGTTACTCAGACTGTGGGATTCCCAGCAGTGATTATCATGAACACTGGTAGAGAGGTGGGAGAAGAAGGGAGCATTGACTTAGCATGAGCTCATGGAAGACTCAGGCTGGCTGGGTGTTGGAGTCCAGGCTCTGAAGGCCTGGTTTTCCCCACACTTCTATTGGGGATCATGGAACAGAGGGGGATGGTACTGGACACAGACTCCAATACCATCCTATCTGATGAAGGATGGAGTGGTGCTCCAACTGGGGAACTGCCTTTTGCCTCTTGAGTGACTGAGCACATAATGTTTTAAGCTTCCGTTTCCTTTTCCTTGTCTGTTAATGAGGATAATGACACCGCCCTGCATGTCAGGTGTAAGGATTAAAATGAATAGCCTACACAAAATGCTTGGGCAGATGTGTTTTCAATTCTTAGGTTCTCCATGAAACTGAGCCTTGAATACCAGAGCAAGATGGACTTCTAGAAATACCAGATAGGTAGCTAAAGGAAATTGAAGGCAGCCAGTGGCACTTGCCACTCAGTGTCATCAGATATTGAATTAAAGAGATAGGAGGAATAACAAGATTACTTTACTCATAGTGGCAACATTAAACAACATGCAGCAAACTAACGAGACTAGATTTTTAAGTGCTTTTATTACATAGAAATTTTAAAAAGTATGTATTGGTCTTGTGGGGGAGCTGTATTTGATCTGAGCTCATGTGTGGCTAAGCGTACAGCACAAAAGTGGGGGGCAGCGAAAAGATAAGAGCTGGAGGATGAGGACGAAAGCTATGAAAGGCTGGCTCCTGAACATGACAACATGACAGGGCTGTTAAACACAGGAGATTCTGAGTTCTTGAAGAGCATTCCCTCTAACAATGAACACACACACACACACACACATTAAAATAAACAAGTGCAAAAGGTGTGTGCCAGAGGAGAAATTATAACAATTTATACAATTTTATAACAAATTAAAAAATTATAACACATTTAAAGATTTTTAGCAGCATTTTTTGCAGTCCTAGAATTGAGTAATACAACACTCTCCTTCTATAAAATATGACTGCTCCAATGTGTTGAGCCAGTGACATTTACAGAGAGAGAAGGAATAAAGAAAGCAGAAGCAGAACAATAGAAATGGAGTGGTTGTTTCAAAATCCTCTTTCTTACAAAGAGTTAAGGAAGGACCTCCTAGTCATAGGAGCCGAAACTGGTTAGCTTTGGGAACCCTCTCCTCCCCTCCTTTCTCCTCTCCTCTCCCCCCCCACTCCTCCTCTCTTTCTATTTCTCCTTCTCATCATCCTCTTCTTCCTCTTTCCTTTCTTCTCTCTCCATTCTCCGTGCTATCTCTTCCCCTTCTCTTCCTTTGCTTGTAGCTCCTCTTCCCCCATCCATATCTCTTTCCTGTGTTCTAAAGGAAATATAAATGATTCAACAACTGTGTTTTGTAGTTACAACACAAAACTTTAGCACGAGGGACTAAATTCCAGTTTGACTTGCTGGGCCTAACGCAGAAGCTCAAACCAAACACATGATTCTCCATAAACTATATAAGCACATACCAAATAGTTCAAATAAGATGTTGCATAATACATGTATCAAAACATCACACCGTGCACCATAGGTATAAAGTTATTGTTTGTCAACTAAAAATACATTGTGAATAAAAAGAATTGTGTCTTGAAAGAAAGAAATGGAAGTAGACAAGCCACTCTCATTCTGAGGTTGGTACATTCTTAATGTCAACACTGGGTGTAGCTACAGCTTCCCTGAAAACTTTAGACTTTCTTAAAATCTTTGTAAGACATGCTACGGCATTTTAAGACACCAATATGTCTCTCTTAAATTACAATCCTGGTAAACATAGGCTGTGTGGGGACAAGGAACTAAGAAGAGACCCAAAGGAATCCAGGCCTTCTGAAGAGATAAATTCCTTGATACCAGAGTCCAGTTTAAGAAATCGAGGAGTGATAATATGACCAAAGGGATCAAGCCCTTGATGGGGAAACCCACAGAGACAGCTGACCTGAGCTAGTGGGAGCTCACTGACTCCAGACTGTCAGCTGGGGAACCTGCATGGAATCGAATTGGGTTCTCTGAATGGGTGACAGTTGTGTGGCTTGAGCAGTCAGTGAGATGGTGGCAGTGGGATCAGGATTTCGCCCTAGTACTTGAACTGACCTTTTGGAGCCCATTCTCTTTGGAGGGATACCTTACTCAGCCTAGATATGGGAGAGGGCCTTGGTCCTAACTCAAAGTGATGTGCCAGACTTCCTTGACTCCCCATGGGAAGCCTTACCCTCTCTGAGAAGTGGATGTGGTATAGTAGGGGGAAGGCAGGGAGAGCAGGAGGAGGGGAGGGAGTAGGAACTGGGATTGGTATGTAAAATGAGAAAAGATTGTCTTAAAATAAAAAAAATCATGTCATAAAAGGGATTGACATGTGAAGCAAGCTTGTTTCTAACTTAAATTTTAGAAAGGGAGGAAAAAAAGAAGAAAGAGATAAATTCCTTCAGCCTGGTAGCATTCACCTGGAAGTGACTGTGTCTAAAGTCTAAGGAAGGAGTCTTAGTTCAGGACCTTAAAGCAGCATGGAAAGGCTATACAGGTAGCTTTCCTGGCATAGGCAGTTACATATCAGGATGAACTGCCCATGGACTACTATTCCTGTGCTTAGGATCCAGGGGAAGAGGGTGGCAAGGCAGGTAACAAAACAGGGAAGAGCTCAACTAGTTAGGTCTGCTTCTGAGAACTAAAGCTGTATCAATGTGATGGAGTGATGAAATACTTAATGCCTTACTCTTGCTTCCTATTTTCCCTTTGCATACTTATTTTTATTGTTCAGTTTAGATTAGCCGAGTGAAACTCAAGGATCTTTAGTCTGATGTCTACATAGTTGAGTGAATTGTGAACAACAGCCGATTGGTATATTTGGGGTGCTAAATCGGGTAAAGCTTTTTTTGAATGTGCCTGACCACCCAGAACAGACGCTTTGTGGTGAGCTGGCAACCTCAAAAATGTGTGATGTAATATTGTTTCTTGCTGCCAGTGGACCAAAGCAGAATGCTTATTCTAGTCTCTGGACGATACTTCCCACTGACCTTCATCACTTTCATTTTCTGCCACTTTCTTCAATCTTCCATCTCTCTTACACACTCATACATATACACATACAATGGCCCATGTGCTTATGGGAACATAGACCAGCACTCTAATAGTTGATAGGGCTGAAGGTGATATGTATCTTCTACCAATTTCCAAAGCACATGCATAAATGCCTTGCTTGCCTTGGATGCATGTCTACTACCAGGTTATGGATCCCAACTCTGTACCCTTCCAATATTCCTAAGACCCTATGTGGCAGCTTATGATATTATTCCCTGCTCAGGTTTTCCATGGAAATATTATTATCCTGATTTCAGTTTTATCAATATAAGCAGGATGATATGAGGTGATGTGAGAGCTGTGTGTGCTGGGGGGGGGGCAGGAAGAAGACCCTACAGTCTAGGTGCCTATGACTGGCAAATAGATACTCATGTGTTTAGTTCTAGTCTGAAGCACCAATAGCATATCTAGCCCCCAGATGGACCTAAAACTAGTTTGGCTGAGAGGGGTCAGGGCTAAGTCTAACAAGTTCCATTCAGCTATCGAGTGTAGAGGGTCAGACTATGCCAAGGATGGGTTGGGAACTGGTTTCTGGTCTTGGATACACATGCCTGGTCCAATGCAATGGAGGATCTGGAGCTCAGAGGCTGAGACTGACTCAGGACCTGAACAATGACATGGAAGAAGCAGGTGTGTCTGTCACAGAGCCCAGAGGAAAGGCCTTGGGATATGGCTAATACCCACAACAAAGCCCCAGAGAAGATGGGAAACCCCTAGCCTGCATATTTCTTCTGCATGACTTCCTGTTAGTATCCTAGTACCTGGAAAAGATTTGCCACTTACAACTGGAAGTAAATCAAATTCTATTAAATGAGTTAAGGCATTCCAGCAAAGAGGACATGGGCTGAGAAAACAGTCACATGTGGAAGGTGCTTTGCGTTTCAGGAACACAAGTGTATAGTAGTGGGTAGTCAGTGGTAATGACCAGTGGAAAAGCTTGTGGACCAGCCTCCATGAGAAGTCTGGAACTCCACACTAGCCAGGAGACCTTCATTTCAGGATAGGAACCTTGGCCCTGACTCTAAAGGTTGCAGTGTTGACTAGTAAATGCCATGTTTTAAAAGAAGGCTTGATTAGCACAAGGAGGGATAAGGGTAGGGTGTGTGTTAGGAAGATCCAGGTATGCTCTTGGCTTGCCCAATAATTACTGTGTGCTGCTTTTGGATAATTGACTTCTCTCTGAGGTTGAGGATTATGCTGGCTGTAGAACATGATTAATCCTGAGATCTTCACCATGTGGTTGTGGTATGCTTTTTCCCACAGGAACCAGAAGCCAAAGAAGGGAGATTGAAACTCTCTGGGCACTAGTAAGGATCCCACCCTATGAACCTGGACCTGGAAGGCTGAGAAAGGGTGGCATATAG